GGACCAGGGTCCCTTACGCCTTTCCTTTTCAACAATTGTACCCATTTTTTCTTTAATATTTCAGGATTTTTTGGTATTTTATGAAATGATAACTCTGGATTTTTTCTGGTATTACTCTGACATTGTGGTATACAACAATATCTTTTCCATATTCTAGTGACCTCAGTACTTTCAGCATTGTTTGCCTCATGTGAAGTGCTTGTTTCATCCTCCATTATATTATCTAAAATATTTTATTTGCTTAGCCTTAGCCCTATGTGAGTTGTTTAATCCTATAGTTATTATCTACCTAATTTTAAATTGACTTCCTATTAATTTAATTAAAATAATCCTATCTAATGTTTATATGCTAGCTAAAAATTTATTAATACAAGACTTTGCTAATTTAAATTAATATAAATTTATATGTAAATATTATGTTTTAACTCACGAGTATTTTATCGAACTAGAATGAAGGATATTAAAGAACCAAAGCAAACTTCAGCTCGAGGACAAAACAACAGCAGAAAACGACGAAAAACACTTTCAACTTTATATTTCCTTGTTACAGCTAGAAACAACTCATTTAAATTCAGATATTTTCGCGCCAAAACATCTTCAAAACATTTTGTCAGGCTATGGCTGGCAATGGCAAATTCGAACAAAATTTTGGCTAACATTTGTCATTTTCATGAAGCTAAAAATGGCATTTTTGAAGCTATAGGATTAAAATAACCTTGAAATCTAATGAGATTAACTATCGATTGGGCTTATTTTTCAAAAAAATTTAGCCGATCGCCAGTAGAAAAGCTAACTCACCTGTTTTGGTTGATGTGGTCAAGTTTTCGCGAGCGAATTTAGGGGACGCGTGTGTACAACTGGTCGTCTTCACAACAAATTTTCTTCGCCACTAATGAGCCGAATTTCTTTAAATTTTCTACATGAGCACTGCCAAACACCCTCGTTATTTTCCACACAAAATTGCTATTGATCGAAGCCGAATAGAGTAAAAAATCCGTCGTTGTTTCCTCCCGAACGAAATCGCTCGCTCATGCGACAGCCATTTCGTTCGAAAGCAACCTACAGCCTCCTACCGTCATGCTTAGCGGGCATATCGCTATTACGCAAATGGTCAATTGTCCCATGTAATCTTCATTATTCAGTTTCTTTCAAGAAAATACAAAATGTGAATCAAGTTTTTTCAAGATACATGTACGCGTCGCGTACCTATTTTTCTGTTTATTATATAAAGGACAGTCTTTGAAAAGCGAAAATTTTTACAGAAAAGCGATAATTGAAAAGCGATAATTTTCACATGTGAGATTATGAATAATCTCACATGTGAGATTATCACTTTTATGAGTGCTCGAAATCTCCATAAAGCACTATACTTTGTATAATAATATACCATATTATATCATATATCATATCAAGAGTTATGCGGTGGATTTTCATGCTCCCATACGCCAATTTTGAGTTCCCACTACATATTCATGACGCATTCTTCGTCGGCGGGACAAGTTTCGGTTGAATGGTAACATGTAGCTGAGATTGGAAGAATTAGAATAAGCATATCAGAGACAGAGTGTGCAGCATTCTCGTTCCCAGGGCCATTTTCACTCGGTCACTCGTTGAAAATTAGACTCCGGGTTAGACAACTAAAGGGAGAGATCTGATTGGCTTCTCAGAGAGCTTCTATTTCCCGAAAGTTGAGCAGTTTTCGCTAACAGGGTTAATGTAGGTCTGAAGGTGTACATAGTTCCCCTCGAAATTTTCATCCTCGATTATTTTTTAACCTTGAACAATCAATTTATGTACTTTTGTTTTCAGAAATACAACAGATCCAAATCGGATTTGGAAGTTCACTCCAACGGGAGACATTTGCAGCGAGAGTAATCCCTCGCTTGTCTTAACCTGGATTGCAAATGAAAACCATCAAGTGCTCGAAGATGAAGATAAACAGCGAGCGTTATTTGGTAGGAACACGTATAGTAGTGTAAAATGTTTATTTATCGCCAACAAAGAATTTTCAATCAAGCGTTGCAAAAGAGAAGGATAACAACACTTTGCTTTGGTCGATGTATAACCTTTCAGGGCCGAAGGTCCTTCCGGACGAGGGTGGTGAAACCTTTAATGCATGGATGGCATTTTGTAGTAGGCCAGCACTCTGGAATCATAATGTTCGTATTGTGGTCTCCCAATTATCCAGTAATTGGGGGCCAGGGCTGTTTGAGTTCATGTATTTCTAGTCCCCGAGCCAGTATATAATAAAACAGTTTTCTACTCACTCTCGTCGAATATAACTCTGTGCTACGCACCTCGTCAGTCGAATAGCAGCTCGTATGCGACTCGAGTTCGCAGAATAGCTGCTAAATGTCAGTGTTTCTGAAATGTAATAGGTGTTATAGAAAATAATGCTACTGAAGAAAATAAAGAAGCCATTGTTGAAAGCTTATCTTCCATGAAAGATGTTTATGGTGGAGAGAAATACAGCGTGGCAGTATTACCTAAGCTGCCTGCTAAACATCCAGCTATTGGAACACAAAGGTAAGCAAAGTATTTCATTGCGCATAGTGTTATTTAAAAATTTGAAAACATACCCTAAATTATGGTGAAATGGAAACACGTGGGGAAGCTTAGTATAAAACGAAACAATTGATCATTTGGAATCGTGCCAGTGTAATAGGAAATATGCCCTTCCCCCTTGCAAAAATGTTTCTTCAGCACCAACTCTCTTAGGACTTACTCAATACTCATGCATGGCCCCCACTCGGAAATTATCCTCCGCCCCCTCCACTTTGCAATATATAAGTTGGTGATGATGTAGACGGAAGCTAGGGATCAAGTGAATCGAAATTTCTTGTTCTTTAAATAATTGTTTCAAAACTTGCCAAAAATGAAATAAAATTGAATGTGCTAAAACACTATGCTTTTTGTCAAGCATACAACATTTTGGTTCAATTGCGATGGAAATTGGATGAGAAATGTACAAAAGAATAGACTGAAAAGAAATTATTTATACATAATTAGTGCATTTATTGATTATGCACGAATACTTCACATAATTTGCTGGCAATTTTATGAAGTTTCTGCGTGTTTTATATCATGTAACTGCAACCATGTTGGAAGAATTAGACAAGTCATATTCTTCCTTCTCCGCTGAAATTTTATCCTATATGGATGGAATTTCGTCCAATTGAGATTGTCAGATATATTTTCAGGGATTGAAAAGTCCACCTGTCGAGGTGATTTTCGTAGTCGACAGGCATAAAAACTGCTTACCTGTCACTTATGACATATTTAGAAAACACCTAAACAAAATTATTATTAGAAAACTGTTTATACGTTTAATTTTTTTTTAACTAAATGCATGAAGTTTGTGTGATGTTATTCTGAGTGTATATCCACACCGGGCAGGCTTGAAAAATATGCCTGGCCACGGCGGGATTCGAACCTACGACCTTTGGAATACCAGCCCATCACACAAACATCTTATTCACCTGAGTACATTACACCAACACAGCAGATTTCATAAATGCATGAAGTTGGACATTGAACACTTATTGACTGAAACCGAGGGAAACAGTACAATATATTTTGTGGACCCTAGGTACTGTTTCCCATAAGTCCTACAGTCTAAATATTTGATTATGTAGCAAATGTCAACGAAAAAAACGAAAAAGCCCTGGAAACTTCTATAATGTTTTCTTTATAACTCGATGGTTTTATGATTCACCGATGAATAAAAGTGTCACAGCTGTTGCCAGGAAACAGTTGGATTTTGAGACTCTCTTGTCCAATGTGATGCAAGAAAACACGAGCTTTGACACTTTGTGTACAATAAAAAATGGCTAGTGCTTTAGTTATTACACGCTTAACAATTTAGTTATTGCACTCTTCTTCCTGAGATGGCCATGTTAAAAAGATGGTACAAGTTGAATGATCGAGGAGATAGGTAAACGATTACACAACCGGTCGCCATGGGAAAGTAACAAAAATTGGGAACCTTTCTAACCTGTAATTTTACTTTTGTTCCTTTGGTAAACAGGTGGGCGATAAAGCAGGAAAGTTTGAGTAACATTGGACAATGGAAATTTTCTCAGATTACTAATCCAGCATGGAACCGTAAAGCATTGTCATGGCCGGTTAACCAAGATGGCACTTTAAATGAGGTAGGATCGAGGTTGCAAAACTAATAGAAACAGAAGAACGGGCAGATTTATACAGGTAGATAACGCACACAGAAAAGACAGACAGTCAGAAATGACATACAAACAGATACACAGACAGGCGAGTAGCACAAGCGCCTCTAACCTGGTAACCTGCGATCAGGCCTTTGTTGTTCTCGCGGCGGCGGGCGAAGGAAAATGAAGGCCTGATACATATGTTATTGAATGCATGTTAGTGTCCTACAACCTGTACCTCTGATTGGCTATTTCTAGCATGAGTGTATCACGCCATATTTAATGTATCATTTTGAGTGGTTAAAACTAATTGGATAATGATATATTTATAGTGATTGTAACTTTGTTACATCGTTGTACCAAGTCAACAGTCTTGTACCAAGTTATCAAACCTTGTACCAACTTGTTAAAGTTCCCACAAGGGGTCAAAATATACTTGATGTCTTCATTACGAACGCTCCTCACGATTGGAAAAAAGTTAAAGTAGTGAAAAGCTTAGTAAAATCTGATCATGATATGGTAATAACCTATCCCCGAGATGTAATTAAAGCAGAAAGAAAAAGTTCCTATTTTAGAGATGTAAGACAACATAAGAAAATAAATATGTTATATGAATTAGGAACTGTAGACTGGAATATGATAACCAAGGATGGGCAAACTC